TGGAATGATGTGCGTAGTAAAGGTAAAGGAGGTCGACCAAAACTTGGTGCTCGAAGTTTAATCGCAAAATTAAATTTTAAAAGTATTAAAATTTTTACTAACCATTTTTCGGCTATACATATGGATAGGCTTAATGTGGTTTATGATAAACCTCTTTACATTGGTTTTACAGTTCTAGAATTATCAAAATTATTAATGTACGAATTTTACTACAGCTTTTTAAAACCAACATACAACCATAAAATTAATTTGTGTTACATGGACACTGACAGCTTTACCGTACTCATTAACACCGATGATGTTTATCAGGATGTTAAATTAAATTTAGATAGATTTGATACATCAAACTATAGTCCTGATAACCAATTTAAGATTCCTCTTCAAAATAAGGCTGTATTAGGTCTTATGAAGGATGAGAATGCTGGTAAAATTATGACTGATTTTATCGGTTTACGATCAAAAATGTACGCGAATCGGGTTCTAGATGGTCAGGTTACTAAAAAATCTAAAGGTGTAAAAAAAGCTGTAGTAAAAAACAAAATTTCTTTCCAACATTATTACGATAGCTTAACATCTAAAACTGTTTTACTTAAAAAACAATTATTATTTAAGAGTGTCAATCATCACATATTTACTGTTCTTCAAAATAAATTAGTTCTTTCACCAAACGATTCCAAAAGATTTATTAAAGCTGACGGGGTTAAAACTTTAGCGTGGCTTAAGATGGAACAATTATCATCGTTATCGCTACCATCAACTTCTTCTTCAACACCAGCTCAACGTTTATCAACATCTTTATCGAGAGCGTGTAAGATTTGTGGTGAGTCCTTTACATCACTTTTCACTTTACAAACACATCTTCGCACAAATCATACAACAACTATTGAGAATGGCGTGGAAAAGATTGCATCATGTTTTAAGAATCGGGTTGTCAGCTATAAAATTAGTAAAGTTCAACCAGATGATGATATATCTTCCTATCTCACACGATTGCGAGAAACGGTCATTACACTTATTAACAACCAAATTACATTAAGTGGATCAGTTAAAATACAAATTGAACTACTATCTAATTTTATAAAATTTGATAATGATGAAGCAGATATGAAAGATGAAGAAGAAGATAAGGTAGTGTCTGAAAAAAATTTTAATACGAAATTTAAAATCATAACAACAGCTACAATTTTGGAAGAGATTTACGATGAGATGATGGGGGATATTATAACTCAAGCGGAAGAGTTCCAGGAACGTGGTTCCGGTTGGGCATTTCACTCAATTTCTCATCTTTTACTAAACATAAATAAATTCCAACCGATACCTAGTTCATCGTACATACGTCTACCGGAAGAGATTGCAAATAAACATGCGTGTGTCAACATAAAAAATTATGAAGATGATGCGTGTTTGGCATGGTGTCTGACGGCAGCCCTTCATCCTGCGAATAGACATTCAGAGCAAATATCTAGCTACCCACATTACAGTCAGGTTTTAAACCTACAAGGTATTCATTTTCCAATTAATTTAAAAGATATAGTTAAAATTGAAAAATTTAGTGGTATAAGCATTAATGTCTATGAATTAGTTTATAGGTCAAAAAAATATTTGGTGG